AAATCTAAACATGCATCTTGTTTAGAGATGTTAGAGCAGGGGTGTACTTTCTGGGGATGGCAACTTTATCTCATCAGTGGGGTAACACCGGGCATTGTTGGGGACCAAGATAGATCCACTTGGTATCCTTTTCTTCCTCCTCCACACCCTCTTCCTATCAAAATAGTTATCGTTTTGAAAATCACCAGGACAACGATATTCTAACAACAAAGCCGCAGCAAGCATCCCTTTCCTCTCGCAGCGGGTTGAACCACCGGGGCTTGCCCGGCGTCCGACCCTGGCGTCCCGTAGGGGGCGCGCGCAGCTATCTCAGCCCAGCCCGTCCGGCTACCGGGAGAAGGTGAGCCCAAATGGAGGGCATCAGGCAGGGCCGGAGTCCAGCTCCCCGCGGCGCGCTGAGGGCTCGGAGCTTCAAGATAAAGAAAGACGCACCCTGGGCTTTGAGTCGCTTTGCTGCTACAGCACAACTGTGCTATTGCTGGCACGGTCCTCCCAAGTGCCAGTTGCAAAATATTGATGGCAGGGCCGGGTCCGTAGTGACTGCCGCAGCCCTGGGCCGGGCGGGTAGCTCTGGCCGACCCTGATCGCCCTCTGGGCGCTTCCAAGGGGATCGGGGCTGCACCCGCTGGTGAGACAGCCTGCCGCCGTCGGAGCAGGCTGTGGGGTTTACTTGTCTCAGCTGGTGGCCTCGATGCGCTGACACCAGGGTCACCAGACAACAACCGACAGGCCTCCTCAAGTCCCAGAAGCAGGTTTCCCCACTCTGGTCAAACTATCGGCTCCAATCTTCACCACATACACACTTCTTCTTAACCCCATGCGTTCCTTCCTGTCCTCACTGGGGTTTGTGCTCCCTAGTGGGGACTGCAAGAGGGAACTATTGTCCCACACCCTCGAGGGGTCAGACATGCGCTGTGAGAAAGGCCCACGCAGAGCCTTCTGGGGATTGTCTCCTAGAGCGAGACCTTTTAGTTTCCTGCTCGGCAGGTGTGTGTGGGGTTCTCAGGCAACTCCTCCGGCGCGAGGCCACCATTCGGCCTGGGGGGGGGGGATCTGAGACTCCTGGGCCTCCGCCTGACAACTGGCCAGTCCTTCCGCTACACTAGGCGGAGGCCACCCCAGGCCTTCGGAGGAGGAGCTCCCCACGGGCAGCCCCCTTGCCCCCGGGCTGCGAGGCGGACGCGGTCGGCCGCGCCCCGCCGGCCCTTTGTTCGCGCCGCAGTCGGCTGGGAGCAGCTGCACCGCGCGAGTCCCGCAGCGCCAAGACGCGGGCGCGACGGAACCAGTCCGCTCGGCGCCTTCTCCTCCTACTCTTGGGTACAGGAACCGCTCCCGTTCCTGCGTCCCACACACCCTCCTGGCTTTTCTCCCGGCCCAGGTGTCTTCGGGGACTGGAGAAGTGGGGTACCCAGGGCCCAGCATCGCACTCCTTCTGCTTGGCTCCCGTGCCCCAGGGAAGCGAGGGGACAGTTGAAATGTCACCCGCTGGGATAAATATTAACAAAAAGCAAATGGACTTGCGCGGGGGCCAGTTATCAATCAACCAGGCCACAAGGCCACTTATGGCAAACACAGCCCAGGTTGGTCCGGGCGAGACTTTCTCATGGCCACCTCCTGGCCGGACCCCTCCCCCGCGGGCTCAGGCTCTCCTCCAGGTTGCTCTGGGGCAAATCTTGGACAGGAAGGGGGCACAGAGAGTGCGGAGACCCAGCCGGCTCCCCCCGCACCATTCGGAGGTTTCCCGCCTCCAGGTTCCGCAGGGTCGGAGTAGCCCAGCACCCACCCCTTCCCGAACCTGGGGCCTGCGGGCCGCGCCTCCTGGGTCCGCGGTGCAACACCGGCTGGTGGGTGCGCGTAGCAGCCTCTTCCTGCGCAGGCAGCTTCCCTTCTGTGGCCGAAGCCTTCTGGAATCTTTAATTGGAAACTAATCTGCTCGCATCTTAATAGGCGCCCACGTCAGAGGCGGGGCACCCACCCTCAGGCACAGCCCAGCCCGCCTACCCTACCTGGGACAAGACGCGGCGCGAGTCTGGTTGCGCTCCGCTTTAATGGGGCAGCAGCAAGTATTACATAGAGGGAACATATATTGATTTTTTAAAGGTAGTTAATTTGGTAAGAATTTCCTCTTGTCTCTCGTCTTCCACCAGCCGATGTAATTTCGTAACGAGAAGGCATCTGCCCAACACGCTGCCACGCACGGAGGGCTTTGACCCTGCACAATAGGCTGAGCCGAGCCTGCGGTACAGCGAGGGAAGGAACCGACCTCCGTAGGCCCGGCCTCGCATCCGGTAGGGGCAAGGCTGAGCGGTCTTTGAGTGCAACAGCGAGCAGAGCTGCGAGGGGCACCTCTACACGGGAGCCTGCGGTGGGGAGGAGGCGGCAAGATCCCACAGCCTCGGCCAAGGTGCCCTGCAATCGTTTTAAGTCTCCTGTAGCCAGGCGGGGCCAACTAGAGATCATTTGGAGGGTTCAGGAGACAGCCTCACTTTTTTTTTTCCTAAATGAAAATGTTAACGGGACTGCTTAATGTTCTTCAGTGACTTAAAAATAGGTCGTGGCTTTTGCAGCGCAATGGGATTGCTCCGGGTTCGCCCTGCACGCGCCCGCGTCCCAGCCGTCCCCACCCTCTAATTCAGTTAAAGAAAAGAAAATGAAAGAGATGACGCTCCATCCGGGTCTTAGGACGCGGAGTCCGCTTGGGGTTTGGCGCCAAGTGAGTCTCCTGACAGAGTCTCGGATTTTCCTTTCTTTTCTCCCCGGGGAAAAGGCCACGTGCCTCGGGCCGAGCATGACTGGTCACCGGCTGCGGGGTGCCAGGCAGGCGCCCCTTCGATAACCTCTTGGGTCCCGGCAGCCCCGGCCGGCGCGCCGCTCGCGCCTCTCGTGTGCGGGTCGCAGTACTCCGACTCTCCCCTCATGAGCACTGCGGTGCCCGCGCGGGGAGGTCAGAGGGCGCTCGCGCAGGCAGGGCGCTACGCCGGGTTTCCAGGGCTCGGGAGTCGTCTCTGAACAAAACCTGTCAGTCTGTCTTTCCAGGGGTGACAGGAGGCAGTGGAGGGGGAGGGTCATTGAAGTCCCGAGCAAGCGCCTTCATGGGGTGGGGGGTGTATGGACCGAGCTTCCCCGGGGGCACCCCTCTCCATTTCCACCCACTTCCTCCACTCCCCCGCCCCTCGCCGGCCAGTGCGGGCACTGCCTCTGTAAAACGTCCTGAAGCCGGGGCTCGGGGCCGGCGTGGGCGTGTGAAAAGGCACCGAAGACCTCGGGCGCCGGCAGAGGCGGAGCAGTCCGGGAGAGGAGCAACCATTTAGCCCACCCCTTCTGGAACTTCAGCTGCCCTCGGGTCTCGGTCAGCCCACGGGGGGGCGATATGGTGGCTGCACACAGGGCTAGAGGGTGGAATCGAGGGAGCTCCAGAGCGCACCCCGTCAACCTGCCACTTCCCGCCGCCCCCGCAACCCCGCCTCGCCCGGCTTCCGGGCGCAGGCTGCCACAGCCCGCGTGAGGACTTTGCTTGGAGCCAACCAGCGCGGGGCCCGGCCGAGGCTCAGCCAGCGTGGCGCTGGGGCGGCGAGGCCACGAGCGCCCAGACCCCAGGAGAGCTTTAAGTCGCATCGGGGTTCGAGTCGCGAGCACGCTGGCACCCGCCTCCCTCTAGCTTCTCATTGGCCCGCACGAGGTGGGGGAGGGGGCTCTGGCCTCTCGCTTTGATTTTAGACTGTGAAACGGCTCAGTGCCCCCGGCTCTGAGCGGATTGACTGTCTCTCATTCTCCAGGGACGAATTAATGGAGAACGATCAGTTAATTAACAAACCCTCATTCCGGCTTTTACCTTTCTCTTCGCCAGGACTCAGGCTAAGGCGCAGGGCTGAGATTGAGGGGAGGGGGACATGGACCCAGGAGTCACTCAACTGAGCCTGGGTCTCATCAAACCCAGCCCGCCCTTGGCTGCACTAGGCTCTACCTCCCCTTGTGTCCTCCGCTCTAAGGGTCCCCGAATCCGGTCGAAATCTCCAGTGTAGTTCGGGCTGGGCTCAGCTGTACCCCCGGCCACTCGTCCGGCTGGAGCCTTCCCCGCACCTTGACCTAGAGAGGCTGGAGGAGCTAGGTACTGTGTCTGTGCAGCGCCGCCGGGACCTTCCCGCTCAAATCGGAAACACCCCGGCCTCGGGGTTTTGGGCCCGGGAGACCTCTGTTCGCTTACTTGGGGGTCATCCACACTCCCACCCCCTGCATTTTTCAGACGAAAAATCACGCAGAGGAATAAAACGAAATGCGAAGTCCTAAGCGAGTCGGCAGCGAAGGCGGTCCCTGGGCTCGGCTGAAACCTCCCTCACCCGGACCTCGGCACCTTCTGCCTCCCTCTCCTTTCCACAGCCGGTTACCAGCGCAGAGTGCGTGCTAACTCTTACACAGCGTCCGCGCCACACACTCACCGCCCCGCGGCTTCGGAACCTTTTGCCCAAGCTCTCGGAGTGCGCGCCCCCCGCCCCGCCCTGCTCCAATAGAGTGAACGCAGCGATTTCAGCCAAACATTGGTGGGCAACTCTGGCGCGCTCCAGCCCAGCGCCCGGGTGTGTGCCAGGGGTACTGGCTCGCAGCACCTGCGCGCAGTTCCACGCACTCGTCGCTTCCTTCTCCCCAAACACAGAGTGCCCAACCGAGAAGCGACGCACAGACCGTGTCCAGCCAGGTGCTGGGATTTCTCTCCGCCTCGGGCCGTGTGAGCTTCCCGCGCCGTCTGCGAGCACGAATGCGCCCCTGCAGTCGCCGAGGTCGAGCCGCTGAGCTCCCGGAGCCTTCCAAAGCCCATCGTCCTGGAGGAGGCGATCTGCTCCCGGGAGCCGTGCGCCGGCTCTCTCAGGCCCAGGGACACCTCCCCCCCTTAGGGAAAGGAGGACAGGATGAAGCGTGCCCAGCCCTCCTTCCCTCCCTCCTTCGGTCCCTTCTACTTCCCTATCCCTTATCTCCCCGAGCGCCCAGCTCCTTGGCCCGCTCACCTGCTAAGCGGAGCGCAGACATGCGCTGGAACTCGGGCTCCTGCAGCCACTTCCACATCCTCCGGAAGGTCTCTCGGCCGGACTTGAGTTTGCTCCAGGGTTTGGGGTTGCGCAGCAGGTCCGAGAGAGTCCCTTGGGAGCGGCAGAGCACCCTCTGCGCGAAGATGGCCTGTGGGATGCTGTAGCGCTTGAGCTCGGTGGTGATACGCTGCGCCACCTCTTTGGTATTGATCTCTTCCATCTGCCCTGAATTACTTCCATTGCTAACCTGCGCACCGGTCACCGAGGGGTTGGGCTCCCGGGCTGTGCCCAGGAGTTGCCCATGGCCCTGGGCGTTCAGGTGGGCGTGGGGGTGGTGCGGAGGAAGGCCGTTGATGGGCACCATGCCGGCCGAGGTGGGAGTGAGGTGCTGCTCCCCGTGACGGCCGAGCATGGCCGGGTGGTGGGCTTCGAAGCCGTTGGGGGTGAGCATCTTGTCGGTGGGCATGGCGGCGCCCGGGTGGGCATAGTGAGGGAGCCCTTGCTGGGAGTTGTGGATGCCGCCCAGACCGGAGCCAGAGAGGGGCGAGAGGCTCTGGCCCATGCCGGCCACGTCCTTGTGGTAGGGGGTATAGAGGTTATTCATGGATGTCAGCCCGCGCTCGTCCCGCATGAGGGTGAAGCTACCGCTCACGTTGCCCGCCAGGCGCTGGTGGTGGTGCGGGTGGTGGTGGTGGTGGTGGTGGTGGTGGTGATGGTGGGGGAACTTGTCCGAGACGGTGGAGATGGGCGGCAGCGGCTGCAGAGGGGTTAAGGTGGTGTAGGTGGTGGGCATGCTCATACCTGGGGGAGTCTCGCAGGCCATGGTCATGGTGGGGTGCAGGGGGCCGGTCAGGCTGTGCTCGGGGGCCCGGTGGTGGTGGTGGTAATCGCTGCCGCCGCCGCCGCCGTCCAGCAGGGACGCCATGCCCATGGAGCGCGGGTGCGCGGGGGGCAGGTGGCTGCCGCGGTGCGCCACGGAGCTTCGCGCGTGGGGGCTGCCGCCCAGCAGGTCGGCGGGGGCTGGAACCGGCTCATGGCTCACCCCGTGCAGCTCGCCGATCGCCTCCATGGTCAGCTGTGCGTTCATCGTGATCCGGGCGAGCGGGCGGCGGACACAACATCGATGAGGCCGGGCAGAGGCGGCGAAGAGCGCACGGAGTCCGGTGTTCACAGCGGCTGCCGGCGACTGTCGCCTTCCTTCCTTCCTTCCTCTCACTGTGGGGCTCTGTCTCCCTCTCTGTGTCTCGCCTTCCCTCTTGCCCCCACCTTTCCCTCTGCGTCCTAGGCTTTTTTTTAAATATTAATTTCCAAAAAGGATCCGCGCCGTTGGGCGAGCGCGGTGCCCCCAGCACGCCCGCCCCCGGCCCCCTCTCGCCCCTCTCCTTCTTAGAATTGTGAGGCCCCCGGCTCCCCTGACGCAGCCCGCGCGTCTTCCGCGGCTGCTGCCTGCCCGCGCCGCTGGCCAGCTCGAGCCATGGCTGGATTACTGTTGCTGAGCCTGTGGCAGCGTTTCCGCCGCCGCCGCTGCCGCCGCGGCCCCCGCCGCCGCGGCCACCGCCGCCCCTCCCCGTGCCCTCGGCCTCTTGGAGAAGCTGCCGCGCTGG